GGAATGCCTTTTGAGGAACAGACATTTATGTGTAGACTTTAAGGATAGTAAGAGTTGGCGAAGAATGGTGGGAAGGGTCTTTTAGAAAGAGGGAAGGGCATACATGGAGGCAGAGCAAGACTAGAACAAGTTGTTCCCTGCAGGCAGCTGCAGCTTGTGTCCCATCTAGGGTCTGGGTGCACAGCTGAGTGAGGTGAGCCTGTGCAAACACCTCCTGAAGCAGGAAAGAGCTTGAGGTCTGCAGGAACTGAAGAAGAGAGTATTAAGTAAGAGGCAGCTTGGCCCCAAATGAGGCCAGAGAGGCAGGTGGCCAAACCATGCAGGGCCTTGTAGGCCGTGTCAGTGATTTTAGATTTCATCCTGAGTGCATGGAAATTAAATCCACATGATTTACCACAGCCCACTAAGCTCCCATGATTAGATCCCCCTGCCCATGAGCTCTTTCCCCCTAAGTCTACATAGCCCTTGTTTTCTGTTCTAGTCCTTTAGTTACTTGCTCATTAGCTCCCTCCCTAATGAAATCACTAGGTCCTTGATGCTGAACTATGTTTTACAAACTTTTGTTTAGCCTGGGACCTTAATCATAGTAGGTTTTTAATTAGTAGTTATTGCTCTCTTTCTACCCCAATACATTAGGATTTGGTATTTTTGAATTGGCACAATGTACAGAACTCTATTCAGCTGTCATACTATTAAGAAGAAAACATAACATTCATCAAGCACTTATGCATGCCAAGACCTGTGCCAAGAGCTTTACTTGCACTGTCTCATTTAATCTTCAAACCAGCCTTATGAATAGGTATTGTTATTACCCATATTTTATAGCAGTCACAGCACTTACGACCAAGTCAGGCATTCATGTCTCTGATGCCAAGCCCCATACTCTTAACCATTGGGATATACCATCCACAGGTCATTTACTCACCTAAAGATGAGATCTGCTTCAACCTCACTGTTACAGTAGTAGCAGTGGTGCAATAAATATCTACACAATGCAACACAAAAAGAGAGAAGGGGTATTCTATGAATATCCACTTACTTACTATTGAATTATGCATATTATGTGATATGACTCTTTATAAAAAGTACTTTTTGTACTCAAAAGAATAAACACTGCTCAAAGCAATTCCTAATATTTCTGGAAAGAATGAGCACTTTGCTGATGCTCAGGAGCTCCCCGTACCAACTGATAAGAGATGGACAATAGGCAAGACCTATATAACCAGCCAAACAAAACCAGCAGAGGAAAGGTTGTAAGTCAACAGGAGTAAACTGCAGTTAGAGCTGAAAAGAGTATTCCAGTTTTCTGGGAATTTAGGAGACATATTGATTATCTTTTCTCCTCCTCATACTTGTAACACTTAATCCTGTAATTGGGGGCAATTGTCTCTTCCCCCTTTGGCTCCGAAGTCCCTTAAACTCATGATGTACTTGGGCCAGTCCATCCATTCATCCAAAGTATGCTAAGGAAATATATGAGATATAAATGAGGCACATAAGAGGCCCTTTCCTTTCAGGAGGAAAGACCCACAATACAGAAGAGACTTATACACACTACTAATGACTATAAAGTAAGTGTCAGAGCACTGTGTCCCTGCAACGGACTATTGGAATTCACAGAAAGGAGGCTGGTGTGAAAGATGAGTGTGGAGCTGGGATTTGCAGCCAAGGGTGGCCAAAGCTGGCAGCAACTGCAAGAGCAGTGAGACTTGGTGCAGAGGGTGGAGACAGGAACATGTGAGCTGGAGAGTTAGGACCAGAGCAAGAATGGGAGCTGGACCGAGCCAAGTGTAAGAGAGACACTGTCTGGCCTGCCCATCAGCCTGGTCCTGGGGGGAGCGGGTCATGTCAGGAGTCATCCCAGGAGGTCCAGCTTTGCCACAGCTGCTCTCCCTGCACCCAGACTCCTGGCTCTCTCTGGGGTTGCTGCCAGTCCAGGCCACCCTTGGCTTAGGCCTGTGAAGGGTGCTTGCTAGGGCTGACGGGCATGATGACAGAGCTCAAGTGGGCAGGCTTTGGGCCTAATCAGGGTGGGAGGTGAGCGTGATGGGACACTGCAAGGATGGCACAGAAGAGTGCCAATGGGCAGGCAGGCAGGTCTCAGCTAGCATGGGTTGTGGCCCATCTGTGGCCACCGGCTCTGCTTTCCACATGTTGCTCAGAAAGCAGATGGCTATGCTTAGTTCAACAGGAAACGAGGAAAAACAGAACTGAGTTTGTCTGCGATAGTACCTGCACTTATATATCTTCATAAGTCACATATAAATGTCAACACGGTAGCTAGAAGGCTGTGTCATATGTGCCTAGGAGAGGCACACATTTGCACCCACCTAAACACCAACAAAATATGGGGTGTATACCTGGGAGAGGCCAGAGTTAAATTCTGTTTAATTCTCAGAATTAACCTCTGATGTTCTTACTATTCTTAATATTTCTCTCTTATGCCTAAAGTAGAGGGGCCAACAGGGCCAAGCACAGGCCCCTCGGTCATGGCTGGAAAACATTGTGCCGTATCACTTTCAGATTAACCAACAAACTCCTCGAGCAGTGTTTTCCAGTGTGGTATGAGATCTACTGCATCAGAATCATGGAGCATGATGGTATGGTTTGAAAAACTGTAGATTCCTGACTTCTCTTCTCCACGCTCCATGTTGATGCACAGGAAGGCCCACTTTCACCAGTGCCCCAGGTGATTCTTATGTACGCTGAAGTTTAAGACAACTGTTACAGGCTCATATTCTAGGAGCAGGGAAACTTACTAATATCACAAAGCATTAGGCCTCATCATTATTCATTTTGAATGACAGACAAGGGAACATTTTAGTTAATGTTTTGATAGTGCTAAATAGGACAGAGTGGCTTACCCTGAGAACCAGGAAGGGCACTCAAAAAATGACCTTGTCTACTAAATTGAATGCAATAGACTAAAGCCATGTGACTTTGCAGAAAGACTGACCTGTTTAAGCATCACAGGAAAGCACAAGGTAAGTCATAATGTAAACACTGATGGCGATGATGCCTTTCATCTTAAGCCTTCCCTAGTCTCAGCCAAAATCCAAGAAAGGAGATAGAACTGCCCAAGGGATGG